ACTTTTTTTTTTAAAGATTGGCACCTGAGCTAACAACTGCTGCCAATCTTCTTCTTATTTTTTAAAAAATTCTTCTCCCCTAAACTCTCCAGTCCATAGTTGTATATTCTAGTTGTGAGTGCCCCTGGTTGTGCTATGTGGGACACTGCCTCAGTGTGGTCTGATGAGCTGTGCCATGTCCGTGCCCAGGATCCGAACTGGCAAAACCCTGGGTCGATGAAGCAGGGTGTGTGAACTTAACCACTCGGCCACAGGGCCGACCCCTCCTTGACTTCTTAATACTAGAATTCCTAAAGCTTAGTCCTTGAACTCCTGTTCTTCTCTATCTGCAATCACTCTCTAATCTCATCCATTCTCTTGGCTTTAGATGCATCAATGTGCTAAGAATTTCCAAATTTATATCCCCAGCCTCTAATTTGTTCTACAGGTTTATACTTCTAATTTTCTGCTCGATGAATCTACTTGTATGTCTAATAGGCATCTCAAATGTAGTATGTCCAAAACAAAACTCCGTTTCTTACCACCAAACCTCTTCTTCCAGCAGCCTTTCTCTCATTATTTAAATACAATTTTATTCTTCCAATTGTTCAGACATCCTCAGTTCTTATTTTTCTCTTATAAACTACATTATTCAATCTCTTCCTACTGGGCTTCCTCTTTCTACCTTTACACCTCCACATATACCCACACTACATTTTTTCATACTATTATTTTATTTTAACAGCTATATTGAGATAGAATTCACATATCATAAAATTCACCCTTTGAGAGTATATAATTCAGTGGTTTTAAATATATCACAATGTTGTGCAACCATTACCACTATCTAATTCCAGATCAATATTATCATCCAAAAATCACCCTACTATTTCAGAGTGAGTGACAGTATCAAAATAGAAAGAGATTCTTCTTAATTTTCTGGTCAAAGTGCCTCAGTGTCACTCCAGCATCAGGGCCATAGTCACACGATACATGATAGACACATTCAAAATATATATAAGAAAAATTGTAATGCCAAAAAGAGAGGAGACAAACAGGGGCAGAAACAATATTAAAGGAGATAATGGATGAAAAATTTCCAAAATTGATGAAAGGTATAAATTGCAATATCCAAGGAGGTCAGAAAAATCCCCAGAAGATGCACACAAACCACAGAGAGATACATAATAAATGTCCTGAAAAAACAGAAAGACAAAAGATAATCTTAAAAGAAACGTTACATTCAAAGGAGCAACAGTAAAACTCAAATCTTAATATGAAAGATAGAAGAAAAAAGCACCAGATGGAAAATTTTAAAGTGCTGAAAAAACCCTGCCAACTTGAAATTGTATACCCATGAAATTAGCCTTTTAAAAATGAAGGGGCCAGCCCGGTTGCATAGTGGTTAAGTTCACGTGCTCCGCTTCAGTGGCCTGGGGTTTGCAGGTTCGGATCCCAGGTGTGGACCTAGCACCGCTTGTCAAACCACACTGTGGCAGCATCCCACATAAAACAGAGGATGATTGGCAGAGATGTTAGCTCAGCAACATCTTCCTCAAGCAAAAAGAGGAAGATTGGCACAAATGTTAGCTCAGGGCCAATCTTCCTCACACACACACACACATACACAAATCACCTATCATGATTCAAATATATTCAACATTTATATGATTTTAGCATAGATTGATGTGTTGTTTAGATAAATATATTACTTAAAAATCCCATCATATTATGTGACTGACTGATCTGGAGCTTCTCTCATTTACAAATATATTGTGAGTATAGTTCTATCACCAAAGACAAAAACTCACATTATTATTTCTCGCTGCTCTTTTATGTTGCAAATTATAGATGTGCTGTAATTAATTTAACTAAAGATGCTGTTTAGATAAGATTTTTTGTATATCAGCGTGTTTTTAATTTAATACTTGCTTAGTATACTCGTGCATGTACAGTATTTGGTCTCACGTTGAATATTTTCCTCCAAACAATTGACAATGTAGATAAAAATATCATCAACATAAACACTAATAAACTTTTGCTATGTTTTGTGATTTAAAAGAGAGAAGAAAAATATATTTACATGTAAACATCAATTTATGCTTCATTATATTAATGGTGAAGGTATCAATTACAAGATATAGATGAATCTTAAATAACCTGCCTAAGAAGCAAAAAATTGAAGATAGATATAACATAGGAGTGAATGGCTGGAGAAATGCTGTAATGAGAGAAACAAAACAAGTGCATCCATTCAAAGCATAGAATACCGCAGCAAGGAATAGTTCAGCAATTATCCAAGAAAGACCACTGTCTCCAGTTCATTGCAGTCTAACCTCCAGTCTATGAGAAGAGAGGTGAACTAATCTAGTTCTGAATTCTATGAATGAGGAAGCTAACGGAGAACCTGAAGATTCTGATATCTAATCACTTATTAAAGGATTTGGAAGAAATGCTCACCAACACATTCCTGATACAATTGCTCTAAGACAGCAAGACATGGGATCATTTGACCAGTATCTCCACTCTACCCTTCCACATCATGAGACAGAAGCTAACCTCAAGCATGGCAAGAATTACTGAGAAAAGAACAAGGTTAGTTTCCATTATTACCGTCATTTCTGCTTTAGAAACAACAAATGAACTGCCAGGTCCTGAATCTGCTTGATCTTGATTCTGTAATGACAGGATTTAACGTAGGTGGAATGGAAATATAGATGCTGGCCGGCAGAACATAGATGTGGAGTGCAATTTGTTGTCTAAACCACTGAGTAAGAACTGAGAAGATCCCGGGCCCGTAAAAGAGGATGATGACACAGACATGGGAGTCACATGTGTTAAGAGCTTTGTGGCGGGCATCTTGATACGAGATGTGGAATAGAGCATGGAGAATAAGTACATATGAAACAAAAATTAGCGCAGTATGTAAGATCAAGTTTGACATTAGGACGAAAAACCCATACCAGATGTTTACTCAGATATCATTATAGGGAATTTTGGCCAAGACAATATGATGACAAGAAGTGTTTGGGAGGATGTTACTTTTGCAGAAAGTCAGTCTTTTCAGAAGAAATGTAACAGGAAAAACTGTACAGCAATTTTCAGAAAGATTATCACACCAATTTCCCCAATCAGAGTCTGTGTAAGAATAGCGTTGTATATCAGTGGGTAGCATATAACAATGTAGTAGTCAAACGCCATCACTAGCGAGATCCCTGACTCAGATATGAAGGTGGAAGAGAGGAAGACTACCTGAGCAATGCAGTGATCCAGGTAGATCTCCCCAGCATGGAACCAGAAGATGGCCAAGGCCTGAAGTACTGTGTACGTGGAGAGGACAATGTCTGCTCTGGGCAGAATGCAGGGGAAGAGGTACATGGTTCATGGAGACTGCACTTCGTGAGGATAATAAAGATGAGCAGGCTGTTTCTAAGGAGGGCGATGACATAAGAAATGAAGAAGTGGATGGAAATCCTCAAGTGCTGGTCCTCAAGGCCAGGATGCCCAGCAAGTAGAAGACAGTGCGGCTAACACCAGTCTAGTTTAGGGTAGTCATAATGGGGAGATCTTTCAGGACCTCACCGCCTATTCACAGAGACAGAGGAAAATTCAGATTACACTCACAGATTTCTTTGATATTACCAGGGGCTTTTGGTACCTACCATTCCATTCCATTCTACCATCACCTTTCCATTCAGAGGATGTCAGGAATATGATGCATATAAAGATAAATAAGATATGATTTGTTTCCTGAATGAAGTCTGAAGCTCATAAACAAAGTAGAATCTTAAACAAGTACGGAAAATTAAATGATTAAGTTAATGATTAACATCTTTGTGGTACAATATTAAACTAATTCAGGAACACAATGGAAGGAGTAATTCACTCTGTATTTGTGTTGGTTTTAAGAATGAGTTATTTTTAAACTTACCTTTGAGGGGCCGGCCCCAGGGCTGAGTGGTTAAGTTCTCGTGCTCTGCTTTGGCGGCCCAGGGTTTTGCTGGTCCGGATCCTGGGCATGGACACGGCACCGCTCATCAAGCCGTGCTGAAGCGGCATCTCACATGCCACAACCAGAAGGACCCACTACTAAAATATACAACTATATACTGGGGGGGAGGTGTGGAGATTTGGGGAGAAAAATCAGAAAAAAAAGGAAGATTGGCAACAGTTGTTAGCTCAGGTGCCAATCTTTAAAAAAACCCAAATTTACCTTTGAAGATGTTTAGAATGTCAGTGATTGGCAGGAATACCAAGTAGAGAATGGAATGAGGTACTTCGGGAATTCAAGGAGAAATGTTTGACATGCAAATACCAGGTGTGTTTAAAACCACTTTCAGCTCTGTGTGGTTGTGGCATTGTAAGTCTGAGCAACTGGAGAAAAGATGGAAGCCAAAGCAGATTTGCTTAGAATACAAATTAGGGATCCTGGACTTAATCTGTGAGTAAACAGTCAGCCATGATGATTTAAGAAACTGGCAAACATTTGGATATATTAAGCTGGCAGCTAGTGGAGAATGGATTGGAAGGGAGGAAGGCAGTAAAGACTGGAATACCAGGACACTGAAGTGTTTATTCCAGTAATACAAACTGATGTGTCAAAGGATTACTATCTCAGGGAAATAGATAGGATCAGTAAAGCAATCGTTTTTAGTTCAATGATAGGCACTGATGTAAAAATGCTGCCTATGGCAGCCCTAATGGCTTCTAAGAACACTGGGAAGTAGACATTGTCATCACCAATTTTCCAAAATAGGATTTTGAGGCTCAAGCACTTTGTCACAGCTTTAAGGAATATAGCTGGGATTTGAAGATTTTTAAAAAGTTACTACACATAATTTCTTCTTCTGTGAATGGATTAAGGGGCAAAAGACCTTTCTGAACTGAATGAAATTGAGAAGGTCCTGTGACTACTGGTAGGGGATCAGGGGAGGAGCAGAACGAAGGCATTTCCTGAGCAGGTAGTGATGTCCTATCCTTTTTGCTACAGAATGAAGAGTAGGGGTGATACAACACAGGTTTTGAAATTATTTATGTTTGAAATCCCACCAATATTAGACGTATTCCCTTGTCAATGTCTCTTTAGGCAACAGTGGTAAAGTTCTGGTAAAAAACTAAAACGCTCGTGCTCCATGTATCCAGGCAGCTGAAGGCTGAGAAGTTCATAAATAGTTCTGTCATCCATCATGCTACCGAAGAAGAGGTGCTGGGTGGTAACATGGAAGGAGGGCCAGTGGTCCCAAATTCTAAGAACTGATGGAGAAGACAAAAAAAAGTTAAACAGTTTCAGATTCTAGTAGAAACACAGGTGGTTTAGTGGCAAGAGGACTCATTATTCCCCTGAATCAGCCACTACTGGTATTTGTAAGTGCAATAATTTTATACTGTCAAGGCCAAACTCTTGGGCTTACCTCTTTCACGCCCTCTCTGACTATGTGTTGAACTTGATCCCCATGTCCATTCTCAGGAGAGAAGCTTGGTGCAAAACTCAGGTCGTGAGAAGTTCAAGGATCCCTGAAATGATGAAGATACAGATTAACAACTTTCAAGATCCCTGCGTTTTTTCAGGGCACGCCTGAAGATCTGGCACATAGTAAGCCACATAATCATTTGTTCTCTGCTCTTCCAGGTTTGGTTCTCCTCACCTCTAGATTTAATTTTCAGAGTAGGAAAATCTGCTCCTATTTTCATTCTATATTATCCTCTAAGCAATGGCTAAAATCGTCCTAAAAATAAAACCATGGGAGCCCAGTAGAGCTTGTGAAGATGTGCCTGCTGTGGACAGCAGCTACCACCAGGTTGGTCTATGGCCACACAACCACTATGAGAATATATAGTGCTCGAGGGAGAGCCATCCTCCTGAAGGAGATGGAAGAAATCAAAGTAGATGTGAAAATGCCATTGGGGGATACTGGTTAGGTGTGTGTGCCATAGCTGACAAAGTTATAAGAGGAAAAGGTGATGAAAACAAAGCAACATAAAGGTTAAGTGACTGAAAAAGGAGCCTGGAGAGGACTAGCTTACAGATGAGGGTGGACACTGGATACTTTGGGGAGTAAGGAGGGTTTTTCTTCTGGGAGGCGGAGGGGAGATGCTAAGGAGCTCAGTGTTTGGGGTCTGGTCTAAGGGTGAAATCGTGAATACTTGAATAGTTGCTTGTCTACTTAATCAAATCTAAAACAACTTCTCAAATGCTTTATGAATGTTTCCCCAGTCTTCACCCAGATATCTTCAGCATCCTGGGGGATTTACTCACATTTCCCTGCTGTGTTCCTGAGAGAATTACCCCTATTCAGGGTACTTTTCAGCATCTGCCTACTATGTCAGCAATGGACCTGTGAGAATCTTCTCCCCATAAGTCTCTTCTTTCCCTCTGATTTCACAAGGAGTCTAATCATCCATCTGATTGAGGACACCTATCTCAAGGATAGAAGCATATTTGATTACCTGGCCATGTTCCCTCTATTGATTTTAAACTTTCTGAGGTCTGAGTATCGTCTTTTTTCCTTTGTGCAGTTCCAGATCTCAGCACACCAAGGCACAGTGTAATGGCTCAAAATGTTTAACAAAAGAACCAAATGACAAATATTGGCTGGGTGTGCTGAAGGATCAGCACAGGGTAGCCATGAATAAACCTCTTCAGTGCCTTGGATATTTACAGTAGTCATGATCTGGGACCAATGGAGAACCTTCTCTGGCAGGGCTTAGGGATCCTTGGCACACTGAGAATGGAAAAGGGTCCTCATGCCCAGAGTCTTCCCCTTGTCCTCTCCCAGACAGCAGCTTCTATTCTACTGGGGTAGCCCATATTTATGATTGTGGTTCAGTGGTGTGCTGGTAACCCAGCTCAAATGCACATACGTTAAGTACATACACACATACAAAGTTGTGATTTGCAATGTTTCCCAACTTCTGCAGTGTATATACTCCAACCATGGTCTATCTCAAGGAACTGACATGATGTCCCACACTGTGGAGTTTGCAAGGAATGGGCACAGGCGAGCAGGTGCAAGTGGCTCCAGCACTCAACTGCTTTTGGGTCTCCAACTTTGTTTTCTTGACTCTAGATAACAGTCCTAATATTTTCAACCATCTATTTTAAGTTCCATAACAGCTAGTCTGGATACGACCTTTGTGATATTGTGATTTATAGTAAGAAATGTATCTTTGGTCTTCATCCTCATTTCTGGCACAGAGCTCCTAAAACACTTCGAATTTCCTAAGTGATGAGAGTAACAAAGGTGTCTTTTGGTATGTCAGTGAGGTAACTTTTGGACCCCGCCTAAGGATGGGGCTGGTTTCCAGGAGAACCACGTAGGTGATTAGAGGCTTGGAACTTTCAGTCCCACCTCCTGACCTCCAGGGAGGGGAAAGGGCCTGGAGGTTGAATTAATCGACAATGCCAACGATTTAATCAATCATGCCTACGTGATGAAGTCTCCATAAAAACCCAAAAAGAACAGGGTTTGGAGAGTTTTTGGGTTGGTGAACACGTGGAGATTTGGGGAGAGTGGTGTGCCTGGAGAGAACATGGAGGCTCCGTGCCATTTCTCCATGCCTTGCCCTGTGCATCTCTTCCATCTGGCTATTCCTGAGTTATATCCTTTTATAATCAACTGATAATTTAGTAAGCAAAATGTTTCTCTGAGTTCTGTGAGTCATTCTAGCAAATTAGTTGAACCTGAGGAGGGGATCTTGGGAACCTCACATTTATAGCCAGTCAGTCAGAACTGTAGATAACAACCTGGGCTTGTGAACTGGCCTCTGAAGTCCAAGGAGGAGGTTGTGGGGGCAGAGAAAGGGGGAATCTTATAGGACTGAACCTTTAACTTCCAGAATCTGATACCATGTCTGGGTAGATAGTATCAGAATTGAGTTGAATTGCAGGACACCTAAGAATTGCTTTGTTGTTGTGGGGACTCCCCCGTCACCCCCTAAATACACATTGGAAATTGGGTCCCAGAACCTCTTTAGCCTTCTTGTCTGAAACTTCACCACACGGCAATAAAAAAATTCCCTCACCTGTTTTAAATGGAGTTCTGTGGGCTAGAATGTGATGAGTCACAATTGGGCTGTCAGAGTGATTGGCGCCAGAGGAACGGAGATTTTACGTATTTGCCTGAATGCCTCAGGAGCAGCTGTTACCCCAGTTAGCCCAGATTTAGAGCTATCTTTTCAACAAGCTCTCCTTTATCCCACATGTGTGGGCCAAGTCATCATGGCTCTTCAAGCCTGTCAATGTTTACTCTATACATCCTTGATTAGACGTGCTAGTGTACTACTTTCTAATAAATAAATTGTTAGTGTTACTAAACCAAAGATTCCTGTTTCCATTTAAATGCCAATTGGGTAAATATTAATCCTTTTTTCAATCAGCACAATTTGAAAATCAACATATTAATTATTTTTAAAACACATTATAACAAAGTTTTCCTTCGTAATTTAGACAGTAGAATTAAATTTATACTGTATTTGTCAAGTCGTTCGAACTTTGGAATTTGTAATAATGTTTTAAATATTTACGTGAGACTACTTGAATATCTTTTGAAAAATCTAGTTGCATTCCTTATGTGAATCAACGTCAGCTATGAAAAATGTTCTGTTCCCTCCTTTTCCTTGGCTACCAAATAGTCTACATTTCATGGTCTGTCATCTTATTCAGTGAAGTTCCTCTTGTTGATAAACTTATCTCCTCCTTTTTATGTTATTTTAATATCTTTTTATTTTTATTTAATTAGTCCAAGTAAGTATATATATAAATATTTGTAAAAGAGAAAAAGTTTTATGTCTAAGAAATATCTTTTTGTCTGTGTATGATGGTAAAATCACAGAATTCTAGTCTAAATGATGTAAGGAGCTGACACAGAATTCTACTTTCACCTAGAGAGGAGCTTGGTAAAACTTTTTACTAATATTTACTTAAAAAAAATTTAGAATGTACCAAAAAGTTGTAAGAATATAGCCATATAGCCTTCATCAAATTTCCCATTATTATCACTTAGCTAAATTTGCTTTATCACTCTCTTTCTCTCTCATTATCCTTGTTATATATTATTATTATTAAAATTTTCTCTCTGTGTGCCATTTGAAATAAACTGAAGATATCATGACCCTTCACTTTGTAGGGGAACAGGGAGAATTATCCCCGCCCCTTTCCCTTTGGTTCTTATGGCTGGTCAAATAATTAAAATGGCAGGTTAGTGGGAGAAAATAAAACAAAGTTTAATAACACGTATGCATGGGAGAAACTCAGGAAAACTGAGCAACTTGCCACAATGGCCAAAGTTGCCACCTTAAACTAAAGACAAGGGAGGAAATTGGGGGTAGTGGTTTGGGACTTCAAAGGGGTGGAAGGCAATTCACATGGAGATGGAAAAGCAAATGTTTGTTAGATAACGTTTGCTGGGCCGCCTATAGAGAATGTGGCCCCAGAGACAGAATTTTAATAAAATAGCTTCATTGGTGCCTTTCTTATCACACATATTTAATATTATACTATAGCTATCTCATTCTATTAGCTCCTTTCTGGATCAGGCATTCTTTCGTAAATTCTTTTGGGCAATTTCGAGGAAGGCCAAATGTTCTTCTCGAGTCTTCTGAGACTTTATTGTCTTCAGCTTGAAATAATCCACATACCAGAGTGGCACATCTTGGGGAGGCCTGCCCTGAACCCCATCAACTTCAAATATTCAGCGTGTATTGAGTAAGAAACAAGTAGAACCTCTCACATAACCATAGATCAAGTATACAATTCAGGACATTTAACATTGATGTAATACTATTATCTAATATTCCGTCCATATTCATAATTATGATTGTCACAGTTTAATCACTTACAGCAACAATTTTTTTCCAATGTTTAATCCAATCCAACATTACAGGTGGCATTTAGTTGTCTTGTATCTTTTGTCATGTCCCTTTATTCTTCTTTAAAGTGAAACAATTCCTCGGGCTTTGGTTGTCTTTCATGACACTATCATTCTCAAGTAGTATAGGCCCCTTTATGGGGGTAATTTCTCTCAATTTCATGACTGATTGCAGCTATGAAATTTTGCCTGGAAGACAACATAATTGCTATTGTGTCATCCTCAGTGCGTCGCATCAGGAGGCATCTGCTATCAGTTTTTGTCCCTTTATAGTGATATCAACTTGATCTATTACAGTAGTTCTGCTATATTTCTCCACATTAGGATAACTTTCTTTTTGAGACTGTTGAAATACACTGTTCTACAATGGATTTTAACCCAGAGGTTTTGACATTCATTCATTATTCTTGCCTGAATCACCTATTATTACGATGCTTGAAAAATGGTGTATTCCTATCTTTTAAAAAATGTATACTTACAAAGATTTTTATTAATATTAAAGGCATAGTATTAAAAAAAGTTGAGTGAAGAGGAACAAAGGGTTAACTCATATGATAAAAGTCCAATGTTGAAGATTTTTTTAATGAAAAAATCCAAAATGAATAAAATTTCATTTCCCATTCAGATTTACTAATTTACCATGAAAAGTGCTCACAATTATAAACATTAAGAAATTTACAGCAAGCTGGCTGAATCTTTTTTCCAGTTTTGTTGAGATATAATTGACATATAATATTGAGTTAGTTTAAGATGTACAACATAATGATTTTTTATATGTATTTATTGTGAGATATTACCACAGTAAGTTCCCTTAATATTCACCACCTCACAATTACAACTTTTTTTTTTTCTGGTGATGAGAACTTTTAAGATTTATTCTCTTAGCAGCTTTCAAATATGCAATATAGTATTGTTAACTATAGTCACCATGCCGCACATTATATCCTACAACTTGTTTATCTTATGACTGGAAGTTTGTACCTTTTGACCACCTTCACCCGTTTCCCCTACCCGCCACCACCTGCCTATGGCAATCATCAATCTCTTCTCTATTTCTATGAGTTTGGTTTTTTTTTGACTCCACACATAATTGCGATCATACAGTATTTGCCTTTCTCTGACTTATTCCACTTAGTATAATGCCTTCAAGTCCATTGATCCTCATAATGTCCATTCATCTTGTCCTGAATGGCAATTTCTTTCTTTTTTATGGCTGAATAGTATTCCATTATATGTATATCTCACATTTTCTTTATCCATTCATCAATCGATGGTCACTTAGGCTATTTCAATGTCTTGGCTATTGTACATAATGTTGTAATGAACATAAGGGTACAGATATCCCTTTGAGATGGTGATTGTTTACTTTGGATATATACACAGAAGTGGAATTGCTGAATCACATGGTAGTTCTATTTTTAATTTTTTGAGGAAACTCCATACTGTTTTCTGTAGTGGCTGTGCATTCCCACCAACAGTGCACAAGTTTCCCTTTTCTCCACATCCTTGTCAACACTTGTTATCTCTTGTCTTTTTTGATGATAGCCATTTTAACAAGTGAGAGATGATATCTCCTTGTGGTTTTAATTTATATTTCCCTGATGATAAGTGATGTTGAGCATCTTTTCGTGTACCTGTTGGCCATTTGTATGCCTTCTTTGGAAAATGTCTATTTGATTCCTCTGTCCCCTCCCCCCCTCCCCGTTTTTTTTTGCTCAGGAAGATTTGCTCTGAGCTAACATCTGTTGCCAATCTTCCTCTTTTTACTTGATGAAGATTCACCCTGACCTAACATCAATGCCAGCCTTCCTCTATTTTGTATGTGGGTCACCACCACAGCATGGCTGCCAAGTGGTGTGGGGTCATGCTGGGGAACCTTCACTGAAGTGAACCTACACCACAGCATGGCCACCAAAGCGAAGGGCACAAAGCTTCATCACTAGGCCACAGGGCCAGCCCCGTCCTCTGCCCATTTCTTCACTGATAATTTTTTGCCATTAAGTTATATGAATTCTTTATATATTTTGGATATTAACCTCTTAACAGATACATGATTTGCAAATATTTTCTCCCATTCTGTAGGTTGCCTTTTCATTTTGTTGATGGTTTCCTTTTCTGTGCAGAAGCTTTTTTGTTTGATGAAATCTTGTTTGTTTATTTTTGCTTTTGGTATCAAATCCACAAAATCTTTGTGAAGACAGATATCAAGGAATATACCCCCTATGTTTTCTTTTAGGAGTTTTATGATTTCAGGTCTTACATTCAACTTTTTAATGCATTTTGAGTTGATTTTTGTGTACAGTATAAGATAGTGGTCCAGTTTCATTCTTTTGAATGTCGTTGTCCAGTTTTCCCAACACCGTTTGTTGAAGAGACTATCCTTTCTCCTTTCTGTATTCTTGGCTCCTTTTTCATAAATTTCTTGACCACATATTTTATTGGGTTTATTCCTGGGCTCTCTATATTCTGTTCCACTGATCTACAGGTCTGTTTTTCCTGTTAGTGATCTTCTCTTTTCCACTTAAATAAGCACCTTTAGCATTTCTTTTAGAACTTGTTTGTTGGTGATAAACTCTTTTAATTTTTGCTTGTCTGGGAAACTCCTTATCTTGCCTCCCATCCTGAATGATAACCTTGCCAGGTAGAGTATTCCTGGCTGTCGGTGTTTTCCTTTCAGCACTTTAAACATATTGTGCTACCCACTTCTAGCCTGTAAAGTTTTTGCTGAGAAGTCAGCTGATAGCCTTGTCGGGTTTCCTTTGTATGCCACTTGTTACCTTTCTCTTGCAGCTTTTAGGATTCTCTCTTTATCTTTAATTTTGGACATTTTAATAATAATGTGTCTTAGTGTGGACCTCTTTGGGTTTATCTTGTTTGGTGCTCTCTGTGCTTCTTGTACTTGGATGTCTGTTTCTTTCTTCATGCTAGGGAATTTTTCAGCTATTATTTCTTCAAATAGATTCTCTGCCCTTTGTCTTTCTCTTCTCCTTCTAGGACACATATAATACGAATGTTAGTGTGCTTGATGTTGTCCCAGAGTTCCCTTAGACTGTTCTCATTCTTTTAAATTCTTTTTTTCTTTTATCTGTTCAGCTTGGGTAATTTCCTCTAGCCTTTCATATGGCTCATTGCTCTGTTCTTCCATATCATCTACTCTGCTGTTGAATTGTTCACTTCCAGTATTATATTCTTCATTTCTGATTTGTTATTTTTTTATATCTTCCAGTTCTTTTTTGACATTCTCACTGTGTTCATCCAATCTTCTTCCAAGATCAGTGAGTGTCCTTATGACTTTTTTGTTTGAACTCTTTGTCAGGTAGATTGTTTATTTGTGTTTCATTTAGTTCTTTTTCTGGGGTCTTGTCCTGCTCCCTTGTTTGGAACACATTCCTTTGCCTGCTCATTTTACCTCTTTCTCTGTGCTTATATCTATGTATTATGTGGGTCAGCACTTGTCTCTTGAGCTTGGAGAAGTGGCCTTATGTAAGAGACAACTTTTGAGGCCCAGGAGTATGCTTCTCTCTTGTCACCAGTTCCAAATGTTCCAGGAATGACCCCTGTGTGTTGTACATGTGTCCTTCTGTTGTGGCAGAGTTGCTCTTGCTGCAGGTGCCCAGGGAGTCTAGGCTGTCCCCCTGGCTGGCTGGTTGTAATGCTCAGCTGCCTGTGGCTGCTATGGACCCTTCAGTCATTGTATTGGGTTTGGGGAGCCCTAGTACAGTTGGCTGCAAGGTCTAATAGCACATTCCTGGTGCAGTTTTTCTGTTAAGTGAGTAGACCCCCAGCATGGATGGTTGCTAGGCTCAGAGGATTACAATTGCTATAGGCCTTGACCTGTAAGGCTGTTGTCAGCTCTCTCAGGATTGCAACTGAGTGGGGCTGGCCCCAGGCATGGGAGCACCCAATTGTTTCAGGCTTTGGAAGGCAGGGCTGATCCCCTGTGTGGCTGTTTGTGAAGCACAGTCTTCTGCCACTGATAAGCCCCATGGCCCACAGGTCCACACACACCATCAACACAGTCCTGACTCATGCACACATTCTGACTCCCTGGAGCATACCCAGTCACCCCATTGCAGAGTCCCCCACAGACTCCACCAATGCCCCACACACTACACCTTTTCCTCAAGCATGCCCTGCCCCACAGAGGTGGACCCACTTGCCTGCCTGCAGAGGATCCAGGCACCCAGTCTATGCAGGCTAAAAGTTGCCTGAGTGCTAGCCATGGTGTGGCCAGTCTCTATGGTGGGCTCATTGCCCTAGCTGAACTGGATTAAATTGGTGCTCTAGTGGGTGGGCCAGACTCTGGGCTAACAGGCCAGGGGAAGAACTCCAATGACATCTGCTAGCTTCTGTGTCAGCACGCCTTTACTAGGTCATAAGTGTGACCTAGTGGCTGCCAGTAATCTCTCAGTCCCTGGAGAGTTCTCACCTCTCACCAAGATGCACCCAGAGCCTATCAGGTGAATCTCTTTTCAACAAAGGACTGTGCACCTTTTTTTTCTGGTGATTTTACATTGCTTTCCAAAATGGGTGAATTTGTGTGTGGGTCCTTTAAAAGCTGGCTTTTTCCGCTTATGTCTGAAAGGTTTTCTAGGGGTATTCCCTGTTGTAGTTAATAGCCAGCAAAGTCAGATAGTATGATACTTGTCTCAGTTGTGCTGAGTGTGAAGGATGCATATAATGGTAACATTCCCCTGCTCAGGTCACTCACTCCTGCAGGGAAGGCTGTGTACCTTAGGATTGCTCCTGGCCAGCTGTGAACTGCGGTGGCACTGAAGGTGGCTTTTTTTCTCTCCAGAAAGGAATTTATGCCTCTTCCGCCTCAGTCAGGACTGTCCCTTGTTGCAGGGGTTCCTTTTATCCAGATTTCAGTTCTCTCTCGGGGGTAACTGTTCCAAGAACAGTTGTAACTTGGTTGTGTTCATGGGAAGAGGTGAGTTTAGAGTCTGCCTATGCCATTATCTTGACACCAACCCCCTAAATGTAACTTCTTTATGTATTTCATTATCTCCAATTATTTTAAAGTGATAATTTCATAGTTTTACAATTTACAAAGCAAGGTATTTTAAACATCTTGATTTAGTAAGAGCCTACTCTATCAGACGATATAATGAGCACCAGGGAAGTAAAATGTAGGTTGCTGAGCCTCCTCTCAATTGGAAAATGAACAGTAGATAAATAATTACAAGGACATGTGAGAAATGCTTTTTTTAAAAGAGCATGCTGGTTAAATTATATATGGCACATCTTTGTATGAACATAGTGGAGAGGTGTTAAAAATGCCTGAAGAGGTATATATTTTTAGCATGGGAATATGTCTATATTACTTTGATAAGTGAGAAAGGTGCATTCTAGAAGAGTAAGAAGAATATGGTTCAATTTAAAAAATTTATTTACTTGCACACACATACACAGTAGAAAATATATAGCAGTCTTCCATAAAATAGTAGCAGTGAATATCTTTATGTTGAACAAAGTGGGTAACTTTTTACAGATTTGATTTCTAATATGCTGTCTAAGGTGGGATGAGTGAAGAATCTCAAGAATGAAAGAATGCTTGACGGCATCAAATGTTGCTTGACGTGTCTTGTAAGATGTAGACTGCGTGCTGACCATTGGACTCAGCAGTGTGGGGGTCACTGTGATGTGAAGTGCAGTGGCATAGGAAAAATGCTGACTGGAGTGAGATCAAGAAAAATAGGGAGAAACGTGTTGAACTTTGTGTGTATAGAAAATGCTTTCAAGGTGTTTTAAAGTGATGGAGAGAGAAATAATAAGGAAAAGGAGAAGATGAGGAAGAGGAGCAGGACAAGGAAGAGGAAGAAAAAGAGAAAGAAGAAGAAGGAGAAGAAAGAGAGAGAGAGGCAGAGGAAAGGCTATAGCAGAATGTGGGTGCCAGAGGTTTTTCCCTCCTTCCCTTTCTCCCTTCCTTTCTTTAGATAGAACAAATATCAGAATGTATACAGATAGAAGTGAGCCTGTGAAGAAAAGAACTTGTGATGGAAAGGACAGAGAGAAGAAGAATATGTAGACCAATGTCCCAAAGTAGATGAAAGGAAAGGGAACTACTTCACCACGTCAAGGAATGAAACAAACCAGGAAAGAAGAGTCCAGCAATTTTACATAGTTCATCTCTTTCCAAATACAAATCTAGGGTTAGAAACTAAGATTGGTTTATTTTTCAGACTGAATGAGAAAGCTCACCAGGCCATAAAGAAATCAATCTCTTATTATTGATCAAAGACTTTAAAAATCATGACCCCAAGCTTCTCTGTGGACTTTCTCTAGAAACATACACTCATTGAGATATTTATCTAATCTCAGCAGTCTTTCACCTACTAGAGCTACTAGAGCCTGCCTCATCTACGACTAGAAATGTTGAGAAAACAATAGTTTGGTTTCCATTCCCAAAGTCATATCTCTTTTGGAAACAGGATATGAGTCACCTGGTCCCGGATCTGTTTGGTCTTGATTCCATAAATGATGGGATTCAGCATAGGTGGAGCCACAATGCAGACGTTAGCCAACAAGATGTGGACATGAGGTGGAATGTGGCGTCCAAACTGCTGAGTAAGGGTTGTGAAGATCTCAGGCCCATAAAAGAGGATGATGACGCAGACATGGGAGCCACATGTGTTGAGAGCTTTGTGGCGAGCATCTCGAGAAGGCATGCGGAAGACAGCACAGAGAATAAGCATATATGAGACAAAAATTAGCATAAGATCTAAGACCAATGTTGACATTAGGACAAAAAACCCATACCAGATGTTTACTCGTACGTCGTCACAGGAAAATTTTGCCAAGCCAATGTGCTCACAACCAGTGTGTGGAAGAATGTTACTTCTGCAAAAGGTCAGTCTTTTCAGAAGAAATATTATGGGGAAAATTGTACCATAACTTCTGAGAAATATTGACACTCCAATTTTCCGAATCAGTGCATGTGTAAGTATAGTGGTGTATCTTAGTGGGTAGCATATGGCAATGTAGCGGTCAAATGCCATCACCAGCAAGATGCCTGACTCAGAGATGAAGGTGGAATGGATGAAGAAGAGTTGAATGATGCAGCAATTCAGGGAGATCTCCCCAGCATGGAACCAGAAGATGGCCAAGGCCTGAGGTACCGTGCACGTGGAGAGGACAATGTCTGCTCCAGCCAGCATGCAAAGGAAGAGGTACATGGGTTCATGGAGGCTGCGCTTTGTGAGGATGATGAAGATGAGCAGGCTGTTCCCAAGCAGGGCGATGACATAGGAAATGAAGAAGGGGATGGAAATCCACATGTGCTGGTCCTCAAGTCCAGGGATGCCCAGCAGGTGGAAGACTGTGTGGCTAACAGCGGTGTGGTTTAAGGTAGCCATACTTGGAGCACTTAGCCTGGGACCTCACTTCCTGTTTACAGAGATTGTCAAAATTTCAGACTGAACTCAAAGCTTATGGCATCTACCTGAATCTTTTCCATAGTCGGTGTGCCAGGAAAGACACAGGATGAAAAAATGAATAAGATATTGCCTGTCTTTTCAATGAGGTAACAATCTTACAGAGAAGATAGATATTTACATAGCTAACTAAAATAATTTGTTAAGTAAACATATTAGTGGTACAAAAAAACTACTACGGGAACTCAGTGGAATAGGTAATTCAGTCTATCTGGCTGTAGGATCCATTGGATGGAGGTGAATCAGGTGGAGAATGTGATGAAGTCATTTGAGAGTTTAAGGATAGACTGCTGTCATACAAATATTTAACGCATTTAAACAGTTTGCAGCCCTGTGTGGTTGTGTGATTGCATACATTGTGCAATGGTAAAAAGATAGAAACAAAAATATTTTGGCTCTGATTACAAGTTAAGAAGCATGGATGCCATCCTGGGAGGAGATAGTCAACCACCATGAGTTTTTAAATTGGAGAGTTTCAGGAATATTTATCTGGAAATGGCTGGATAACGGATTGGAAGGGAGAAATCATCTAAAAGGAAAGTTGAGCCTTTTCCTTATTTGAAGAAAATCATGTGTTGACATAATATTTTCACTGTGAAATAGGATTAACGAAATGGCTTTTTACTTCATGTCAGGCACTCATGTTAAAACTTGACTTATAGTCACTCACTGATTACTTGTAACAATCTAGGGAAGTCGATATCATTTTCAGTTTTTTCAGACTAGGAAGTTGAAGCTTGTGGAACTTGGCACAATTGTTAAAATGTAGGTCTTGAATTTGGTGCTTCCCTAACTGTGGAATACATCATCTTATGATCTATGAAATGGTTCAAAGGTCAAGAGATTGTTCTGAACTGAGGAAAATTGACAAGTCTTGTGGCTAGAGGTAAGAGGTGGTGGCTAGAGTCCTTGAGAAGTTAGCCATGCCTTATCCTTTTTACCTCTGTATGTAGAGTATACTTAATACCATAAGAGTTTTGAAATAATTTATAATTGAAATTCCAGCAATTTTGATATTTTGTTCCCTTTTCTATGACCCTTTAGCCACCAGTAATAAAATTCTGGTAAAATCATAAAAGAATTGTGCACCCAGGGAGGCTGAAGGCTGGGAAATTGAGAAAAGGGTCTGCTTTCCAAAGTACTACAGAAAGAGGGGCTCAGGTGCTAACAAAGAAAAAGGGCAAGGGGACCCACCCCAAATAACTGGTGGAGAAAAATAAGTCAGACTGACTCAGATTTAGATAATCTAGAGGAAACTCAGGTGATTAAGTAGCCAGAGGGCTTGTTATTCCTATGGAGACACAAGTAGTATTTTATATGAAATAAATGCTTTTTCATTCTCAAGGCCAAATTTTAGGTCAGTGGTTTTCAAATGGAGGTGACTTTGCTCCTCAGAGGGACATTTAGCAATAACTGAAGACAGTTTGGTTGTCACACTGGGGAGTGATTGCTGCTGGTATCCAGTGGGTAGAGGCCAGAGATGCTGCTAAACAGTCTACAATGCACAGGATGACCCCTACAACAGCACGTCTGGCCCAAAATATCAGTAGTGCCAAGGTTGAGAAATTCTGCTCTAGATCTTACCCTCTCTCATACCCTCTTTGACTTAATGTTAAACTTGATGTTCCCATTCCCGTTGTCGGGAGATGAGCTTGGTGCAGAACTCAGGCAGTGAGAAATTCAGAGGTCATGAAAAGTTTGGGGATCCAAGGGATGAAGAAGCACACATAAACAACTGCCAGCCTCTCTGCATGTATTTAGTCAGTGTCTGACTCAGGGCCTAGTGCATAGAGAGCAACTAATCTTTAGTTTCCACCCCTACACGTTCGATTTTGCTTTTTTCTCATCTTCAATATCTGGAGGAGGAAATCCATCTATTCTTATTTGTCCCTCTGAGAAAAGGCAGAAACTTGTGTTGACCATAAAATCATATTCGGGAGAGCCAGGAGAGGCTGATGTTGGGATGAAGGATATTGGATGGGGACTAGTTGCTCAAGAGTGAGAATCAGGCCTGCTGTTGACATCAATTACCACAAGGTCAGTCTATGACCACGCGAATACTGTGAGAATACATGTTCGCCTGAGGAAAGCCATCCTCCTGGAGGAGGTGGAAGAAATTAAACAGAAATGAAAATGGCATAGGCAGCTGAAGGCCAACTATATGCACCACATTCCTGAAAAGAAATAGCAGGGAAAGGAGATGAAGATAAAGCAAAATAATTCTAAAGTAAATAAAAAGAGGATCTGGAAGAGAACTAGCTTCCAGATGTGGCTAGATGTTGAATGCTTTATGGGTAACAAAGGAGAATTTTCTTTTGGGAAGCAGATAGGCAAGACTAGGAAGCTTGGAGATTGGGGGTTGATCTATGGGAGAAATTGCCTAAACTAGCATGGCTGCTTGTCCAACTAACAGTCATCTGAAAAAAGCTTCTCAAGTGCCTTCTGAAGGTTTCCTCATGAAGGTTGATGAGATTCAGGTATCTTTAGCATCCAGAGAAGTCACCTCCATCCCTCTGCTTTGTGCTGTTCAGGGAACTGGTCCTATTCAGAGGACACCCACCATCTTCTAATGTTCACCATGACAGGAATGTGCTGGAGAGACCCATCTCCCCAAAAGTCACCCCTTTCCTCTACTTTTACAAGGAGTTTAATCATTACAATTCTTATTTCATTTATTGTGACCTCCTTGAGTTCTGAAACTTGTTTTTGATCTGTGCATGTCCAGAATCTAGCACACAGAAATATTAGATGAAAGTAAAAAAACAGCAGTAGAATATTCTCAGTAGGCAGGACCTGGGGCCTAAGCAGTCCTTTCTTGGGAGGGGCTCAGGGGTTCTTGGCACACCAGTCTGAGAAGGCTTCCAGAGCCTCTCATTATCCCCTCCCAAACACCACTTTCATTCTACTAGGATAACCCCCATTTGTGACTCTGGTCTCCTTCACTCTGCTTACTTAATGTCAGACAAATGTCCGAATATTCTCAAACACCTACGTTACACCCCATAACCCTCTAGTCTTGATGGAATACTCTCTTTTTTTCCTCCCATAGAAGTTTACCCCACATCAGTAAATAACTTACCTGTTCAAATGCAGTCTTCATGGCCTAGTGTGTGATGAATCAAGGAGGACTCGGATCATTGGGCACCTGGGAGCAGAGATTTTTATGCATTTTTCTGGAGACTCTAGGGTAAGCTACTACCCCAGGGAACCCAGATTTAAAGATGTACTTTCAACAACACCCCATCCATTGCATACACATGGGTCAAGTTATCATGTCTCTCCATGCCCGCCAATGCCACCCTCTCCTCAACTCTATCCCTAGATTGAGTGTGAACATGTATTAAATAAATTAATTAAAGTAAATCAATAAATAAAATGTCAGTGTTACTACACTAAATATTCCTGTTTCTATTTTAATGATAATTAGACAATATTAATCCCATTTTAAATCAGCACAAAGACATTGACTATTGAATATATAGATTATTTAAAAAACACATTCTTGTAAGGATTTCTTTGTAATTTTGACAAGCTTGAAGTGAAATTTGTATCCTATTTTTCATATCACTTCATATTCTAGAACATGAAATAATGTTTTATTAGGTAATGTGAGAAAATTTTAATGTCTTTAATGTATTTATATGAGTCAGTACATGACAAAGGAATAATCTCCATGCTTCTCTCCTTTGGCTGCCAGTAAATCTGCAGTTAATGCTCAGTAACCACATTTCCTAATATCTTTTTGCTGATAACATATCTCCACCCTTTAAAATATTCTCTGTGTCTTATTGTCACTAAATTAGACCAAGTAAGTGTTATGTAGATATTGGTAAAGAAGAGACAGCTTTGTGTGTACCTGTATGATGATAAATTCATGGGTTTCTATTTAAAATGGTGTACTGAGCTTACTCAGAAAGACTCCATGCCTATTTAACTTATAGAAATACTTTATAAAATATTATTTTTCTATTAAATGCTTATTTTGGTAACATTAACATGCAGAAAATCTACATAAATATTACTATAAATTCCAATAAAACTTTCATATGGATCCAGCCATTGTTAACATTTGCCCACATTCTCTCTCTCTCTCATTACTATTTTTTTAAAAAAATTTACTTCATTGAAGTCACATTGATTTATGACATTATGTAAATTTCAGGTGTACATCATTGTATTTTGACTTCTGTATAGACTGTGTCGTGTTTACCACCAAAAGTCTAGTTTCCCCCCGTCGTCGTACACATGTGCCTCTTTACCCCTTTCGCCTTCTTCCCACCCGTTTCCCCTCTGGTAACCACCAATCTCCTCTCTGTATCAATGCGTGTTTTTGTTTATCTTCCACATGTGAGTGAAGTCATGAACAAGGACAATCTCTTTCATATAGCAGTGCAATTACCAAATTTATGATATTTAACATTGGTACAATGCTATAATCCAACATGCAGTACATATTCAAAACTTGCCAGTTGTCTTAAAGTTATTTTTCATAGTTAATTATTATTTTTTTCAATTGAGGACCACATATTGTATTAAGTTGCCATATATTTACTCTCCTTTAATCTGGAACAGTTCTTCAACCTTTTATTGTCTTTCATGATAATGTCATTTTTAAAGAAGAATATAGTCCCATATTTTGTATAATGTTCCTCCATTTGAATGTATTCCTCGTGATAAGACTCAGACTACACTTATTTGGCCAGAATACTACATAAGTGATGCTGTGTCCTTCTTGTATCACACCAGCAGTTATCTGCTATAAGTTTTTTGTCACATTATTGGTGATGTTATCATTGACCAATTAATTAAAGTGGGTCCACCAGATTTCCCCACTAAAATGATGTCTCTTCCGCCCTTGTAATCAATGAAATACATAATATATGAGGCGATTCTTCGAGGCTGTGAAATACACTGTTCCCCAG